TAATTTGTTCCTCCAGACATATGGTGTAGTATAAAAACAGTCGCATGTAGCCGCCCACTGCAAAACTTATGTCTTTTTCTTCGCATGGGTTAGATATAGAGATGAAAATATAATAGCATAATTTGCGTACACCTCACAGGCGACCATGCGATGATTTAACTGACTGTTTTTATACTAGAAGAGCAATAGTACACTGTACATTAAAATTCATTAGAAGGGGAACATTTAAAGGCGATTAACTACGATCAAATTTAAAGAGCCATCAATGTTATATCAACCAAATTAGTAGTAGTAATTAGTTGAAATTATTTATTCTTCTTGTTTGTATTTGGTACTTGCCCTTTAATTAGTGGCGTTTATAGTTATTAAATCGACATTTCTCCTTCATTCAAACTTCTGTACTGTAACAACCACATTTTGCTACCCTATCATAATTAAGTGATGAAAAAAGTGATAGATCTCAGTATCGTTTGTATAGAACCAACAAAGGCGGTTTTGATATGAATCTATTCAGGGGGAACAATGGTGGTAATGAAATATGTACGTGTCAAAGGTAATGTGGTTTCGATATGAAGACAGACATTTGCTCAAAATACAACACATTAAAACGTTGCCGCATACACACTCGTTTTTATGGCACGTCGCTCGATAAGCTAAATGTCGCCAGAATTTACATTGCTGACTATTGTTTCTGGTTGTATTAATTACGTTAATAATCATCGAGATCTAATTCAATGGCGAGTAGGTATACCTACATTTACATTTGATGTATTCAACCGAAATTACAATGACCGAGAGTATTTGTCTAGGTACAATGGTAGTCGTAACACTTATAACCCGTTAACATGAAATTACCGTAGATAATGTAAATGTGTGTTACAAAACACCTCAATCTATGTCTAATTCTTGAAATAAATGCTGTCAGTATTGACAGAAGTAAATGACTACGACATATATTGTCTCTTACAACGAAATTACTACCCATTTGTTTTTAAGCCATTAGTTAGGATTTATTTACGTTAATCTTGTTTTCGGTCAAAACTGTCTGTTTTTGGAAAATGTTTTGCTAAACTCACAAGTGGCGTTATAATTCGATTTGTAGGCGAAAGTGTCTGAAGTATTCCTTCCAGCTTTCTAGCTACTGATGTTTATTTATTTATTTATTGTCCCTCTTGTTCTAGGCCCTCAACAGGCTTACGCCCAATTACAGAGTGACCCACATAATGCTTTTTAGAGGTGCCCCTGCAGAAGGTCTTAAGTTGTTCTATACTACTCCGGTATTTACCTTACGAATTAGGAAAACTGCAGGAAAACCTAATTCGGAGTAACCGGCAGAATGCTCGAAACTGATCTAAGCAAATTCCCATCTCTGCCACAGATGAAAAATTCACCTCAAACCAGGTTCGAACACCCGACCTCCGGATTTATACCCCAACGCTCTATACCACTGAGCTATAATGCCGGATGTTGCATTGAAGTTTCAAATTTTCTTATAAATGACCAAACCAAAGGGTGGTTGATCACATAAAAATTTAGCTTTGAGGGATACAGAATGTTGGCGTTATGGGCAATTCCATCTTCTGTCTTCTACCCATACAAGGGATTGGTCCAAATTCTTAAAATTGTAAATGGAAAGAACCGTTCAAGTGCTTTATTCCATACGAAGTTGAAATTCCGTTATACCAGGGCCTTGTTTGTTGAAATCATTAAAATTAAAAGTAGGAAAATGTAACTATTATTACCTTTCCAATCTCAATAAAACGGCGCTATTTAGGAACAAGCATTTTAGAAACCATTCAAAATGATCTGTTCTCTGGCTAACCCTACTTCCAAAACTTCTATTCAGAAATTATACGGTAAAGAGAACCCATATCGCTAAAAAAATCAGCCCTCAGCGGTCATCTGGTCTAGGATATTTACCATATTCGTTAATTAGTTATTTACCACAAACCTAGACGATTCGTACTTTGGTTTGTGTTTCTCAAAATATCTGTCGTTGGTTGGTAAATGAATTTTCAGTTCATTCGTTGAGAGAAATTCACAGACATGGAAAGGTTTCCAATACTCTTATCATGCATGCGTTTGGTTTTATCATTAGATCATTAGATTTCAATAAAAACCCGCGTAAAAATAATTTATTTGAATGCCTTTAGAACATTTGATACCTCGTTTGATACATTGTTCGTAACTGAATTAAATGGAAAATTCACTTCTTCTAGAAGAAATTACCTCCACTAACTTCCATACAATAATACAATCTTGATTCAAACTCAGATCTTACATTTCTCAAGACCCCGGGAGTTATTCTCCGGCATTCAACGATATGTTTTTGTCTTAGTTCGGCAAGTTTTAGTTGGGATATCTTGTATACGGTTTTCGGGAGGAAGTTACCCGTTCGGTGATATTTTTGGAAAATCAACATCTGAATACCTATTGGAAAAAGTTTCCATTTTCCAGAAAACTTGTCTGATAGGTATTCTCGCACGATTACTGTGTGCCCTATATCGTTGTATTCGTAATAAAAAATACTACTGATAGACACCCTTATCTTGGACACAGTGTATAAAATGCTACGGTCATTGGCAACTAGACAGTAATTGGGCGTGGCATATATTTTCTAAGAAAATAAGAATAACGAGTAGGATATGATTTAGGTTGATTGCATATTAAGTTGGTAACATCTTATCGGTTAAATCTTTAAATTAATTTCCGGGTGGCTAGATCATAAGTAAAATGAGGAAAATGTTGAAGAGGAATTTGGCTGCATTAACTAATTTTTACTATTTTAACTTGTTTTCATATTACTTAAGAGAGCAATCAATTTACTGCACATAAACATAGAACATGCATATGGTTGATATACCAAAAGCTGAGGCGGCTCAGTTCGTAAATATTCCTCGAGAATAATAGCAATCATTAGTGACTCAAACAACAACAAAATCGACCAAGTGACTTCAAATGGAATTTCTTTTACTTTTTGGCCAGTTCTCTATAGCTTACCCATTTGTTAAACGTAAAGGTGAACAGTAATCCTTTTCTTGATCGATTCCACAAATTATTAATTAATCCTTCACGTGAGAGAAATGCATTAGACAAGCTTTTATAAAAGATACTTCCCACATAATGTCACCACCCGTAACATGCAATATAAAAGGGCCTACGTGACTGCACATGAAGTTTAATTAACAATGGACTATTAAAATCAATAAACAAACGATCACGCTAATCCTGAAAATACTTTTTTGCAGGAATTCAGATTAATTCAAAACAAACTAGTAAATCTCGTTAAATTTTCTGATGTGGAGCGTAGTTCAGAACATTTGTCGCAAAACTTCAGTAGTCACGATTCAGACCAAATTTGTGAGAAAATGAGAAAGCAACGATGATAATCTATGCCCACCAGGATGCCCACTCATTCCCCAACATCCCGCTACCTTGGGTTTATTATTATATTAAAACTATTAATGATTGGGATTCAACATACTGTTATTTTGTACATTTTCAATGCGATTTACACAATCTGTCCCGTTTTTCCGAAATTCCCTCGAATAATTCTTCTCCAGTTCTGTTTCTCAAATTCTCTTCTCAAGTTGTTCTCAACCTCTCTAATCTTTCCCATCAGCAGTTCGTCTTAAACTTCCACAAAGTGGTATTTTTTTCTCGATTGGTTCAGCTAAAGTGGAACGCTCAGTGTTAGAAGCATTGTTGAATCGTTTTTAATCAAACATTTTCGAATCTCGATTTTGATATAATCAGCAGAATTTCTACTTTAACTATGGGAAACGGGGTAGATTTACTGTTCCTGTCAATTTCTTGTTTGTAATGAAGTTCTACTTAATTTCCCTTTAGTTTCTTTAAAGTTTTACTTTGTGTTCTCCTCAAGCTTCTCTCAATTTCCTCATAAGGTGTCTTCATGTTCCTTAATTGAAAATTAATATTAAAATCTGAGAAACAGGCCATAGAGTCGTCGCACTAGCGAATATCGAAAGCGTTTTTGCAGACCACTTACCTTGGAAGAATATTTTGCACGTATTTCACGTATTTTAAAAATATAAACGCGTCCAGACCTTCTCATTTCCCAGTCCCTTTGTGTGTACCCATTTTCGATACTTGTTTTGACGGGCATGTCAATCAATGTCAATATCAAAAAAACCCTAGTAATATTTGGATTTTCTCATGTATATTTAGGTTTAAATTTGTTTGAGTCACTGTAGTTTTCAATTATGCATTATTTAGTCCGTGGGGAATTGTTATTGATGCATGTTAGATTTTCTTTTCGTTTCATTTTCCTTGCAATAACTTGGTCGGCACGGTCAGCGTAGTTGCGTACTCAATGTCGATTTAATTGCACACTTTTTAAGCCTATTACCTTCTAGCGATTTCGAATGTTGTCTATTTCTCGAAGTGGTTTTGGCCGAGACAACACTATTTCTCTCATTTTGGAGGATATAAATTTGGATTTGTTGAATGGCCGCGAAATCCCGAATATATCCGACGCGCATCTCTTCATCTTTAGTCTTGGAACGATCTCTACATTTGTTACTTTGCGTAATTTAATTTAAATATGTTGAGGGTTGATTGAATCCTTATTATACAGGGTGAAAATTTTGTCTGGAGTCCTGAATATATTTAAACAACATTTTTTAAAGAAGATTTGTATGGTATCCAAAATTTTAAAAAGTTTGCTACCAATCTACGTACAAAATCAAATTTGTGGTCAGTGGCGTACTTCTGCCTGATCAAAGGGGTGATATTTTTTTAAAGGGTATACTTTTTTCGATATAAGAGCATAAAAAACATATTATATCAGAATTCACAATCAAATTTAAGAGAAAAACTCAAGGCGTAAGATATCGTTAAAAAGTAATAAAATCACAGCAGGTATCTTTTACGTGAGAAGTAACTTTTTTATTCATTTTTATTAATTTCCGATCAATTTATCAGTTCGCCAAAGCTTGCATAAATGTAGAGGAAATTGCATGTGTAGGTAGCGCACTTACCCGACTCGTTTTCTGTAGGTACACCCAAACTATTTGAGTTATCGTTGATAAAGGCCTCTGCAGAATTAGTAAAAGTTTGAGGAGACAGCGTTAAATCAGGACCACTTGAGGAATCAAATAAATCAAACGTCGCCGTAACTCCTTCCGTTGCACCTGTAAAGAAATTCGATTATTGAGATATATTCTCGCGAAGGTAATTGCAAATATACATCAAGTTTGGGGTAAACAATTAATCAACTAAACTAAGCTAGTTGTGTGCGGATATGGTGTGCATTATGGGGAGTTGGCCAGACTTTCTCAACATATATGAGGTGCTTGATTAATATGAAACTTAGAAACAGTTTATCTAGCGATGTTATCGAATTGTAATCCATCATATTACACTTCTATTTACGAGATGACAACTTTGATGTGCAGCTGCTTTTAGTTTAACGCTAATCTACCAACTTTCCATCCATGCCGTTGAATATAAACGAGTAGATATAACTGAAACAGGAAAACTGTGAGGGAATGCTCTTCAAAGCAGAAAGCTCGCCCCATCTCAATCTAATTTAATAAAATTTTATGGAAGACTTTTGCGTAATGAGTTTTGAAAGCTTTATTAAAAAATTTTCAATTTTTATTACGATTTTTATACTTTTTATTGCAACTTTGTGTAATTTATGAAAACATGGGACTGAGATCCGTATAAAAAATTTAATAAAATTGTTTTTTATTACTTTGGCGTTCGTATTAAAGTATAAAAATACGACAGCGCCGCTATATCTCTCCAGCTTAATAGAAATTTTAATTTATGCAATTATGGCATGGTTTTCCGAAATCGCACCTATTGCATAACTTGGATTGCTCTTTGTAAGAATAGCGTATCTTGGAAAACTTGCTAAGACACCGTCTTCGCCAAATTAATAAACAGCGACATAAAATAATTGCAGACTCGAGGAAAATAGGAGTCCTAACGCTTCATATTTTAACCAATTTACCCTCGTCTTTGTTTAACTAAAGAGCTCGTCTGAAAATCGACAAAGACAAGGATAGGATCGCAAACCTTCCATAAACGGATATTAAATTGGTTTAGAATGGCGAGTTTTCTATCTCTAAACGATTTCCTTCGATTCTTATTTATAATGACTAAACGCAAGGAAGGATGAGATTTTTAATATTCATTCGTTGCATTTGCAAAACAGTAAACAGCAATAAAATCGGCTTAACAACGTACAACAAATTTTGCAGTAAACTTGAACATAAATAAGAAGAAAATCACGTAACCCCCATAAAGTTCACATGTACATTGAACTACGTCTCTCTCAGCAGCAAACATCAGTTAAAATTCTCAAGGGAGAAAAAATCCCAAAACGTATAAACCAACCTTTTACTTCTCTTTCACCCTTGTCGAATAGCGAGTAAAGTTTTTGCATACCTAAGCGAAAGTTTTGGCAGTAAGCAAAATTACTGAATGTAGTCCTCATTACAGATTCCTAGAGGGCGTTTGAGAAGTTGGTAGTAACGGACTGAAAATCTCCGAACGAAACTCGAAAATAAAATAAAATGACCAATTTACGTTACGATATAAGGGATGCGTAAATTGGCAGGTCGTTATTCATCCCTTTATTTTATTTGCTTTGTGTCAGTTCTTAAAGTTTTTACACTACTTTCTAAGTAGTTCGTACACATACACCACGGAAATAATTACCTGGAAGGTCTTGTTTTGTGTATCGTGAATTTAAATGTCAATAGAATAAAGACAGATGCCCCATTTCTCGACGTCCTGCTCTCAAAGCGGACACCTTCGTTTTCAGTTTTGAATACAATGCCCCTTACTAACCCACTGGATGAAATAGAATAGGGATGCAAAGGTTGGGGTAGTTAACCTCAAGATAATTTTCCTTGTACGTGCCTATTAGGGAATTAGAAGTGACCAGATTGGCGAAGGTGGTGCAAGCTTTGTTTGAAGTACCTATACTTAAATGCAAAACGAAGGAATAAATCAGTATATACAGGCAACATATATTTCGATTTTTGAATTTCGGTGCATTTCTAAAATACGTTTGGTCCTTCGATCCGGGGATGAACAATGAAAAATTCGGTGACTATTATGACAAAGTGCTCGCACAGATATAGAATGGCGGATGGCGAATAGGAGGCGCAATGTGCTATCTAAGGACTATCAAAACTGAATAGAACATTTCGGGTTAACGATAAACCATATACTACTCTACATTCCTAAAATTATGGGACAATATCAGCCAGTAATAGGCTTTGGAAAGAAAAATAAACTTAGGGAAATTACACTCAGTTATAAGACGGGTATAAACAAATATAACAAACGACTTCAAACAGTGAAAGGGTTAGTAAGGCAACTTCGGCTAGTTTCTTGGGATTTTGGAATTAGTCCAAAAACGTTGTAATGGCCCATTACCGGAAGCAGCGTTTGTAATCAACCAAATCACGTCATGGGCTCTATTTGAACGGAAGGAAACGCACTGCAAATTTATACTGCGAACCTTTCTGTGATAAGGCTGAATGCTTTGTGGACTGCTAGATCCTTTCCATTAGTGTTGCGCTGGGACTTTTATACATGTTGCTGATGTAGATGCTACAATTCTCATTTTAATAGCTTTAAGCGTACCTATTGGTATCGTTGACCGCAACTTTGATCCCTTTGCATTTAGAATAAAAAAAAACTGGTTTATTCTTTAACACGGCCGAAAATTTTTTTAGCTGATAACACTATTATCACAACAAAGCTCCTCGGAATTAGAAGATAGTTGTTGGTGCCATTTTTACCTACTCATCACCTTTGCTTTAAATGTAGTAATTTTTCCTTTGCCAGGATATAATTATATAGTTTTAATTAACAATTTCCAAAGATCATGGACTTTATCAAACCAAAACAAATTGTAGTATTTGTCCTACAGTTGGAGCATCGTTAGAAAAATAAAAGCATCACGTGTCGTTAACTTATTGACCACCCAAATTTTCGGATTCTTTTCTTGGTAATAATCACCTTCGTTTGTTCTAGATATATTTTTAAGTTTTCTTTTCATTAGTTGTTTTTTCAATCACTTTAAAATGCTTTTTAAATCTTTTTCATTTGTAGAACATGGCGTTAATTCGCCTGGAAAAACATACTTGGACATCTTCACCCGCCTTTTTTTAATTTTGTCACTCGCTTGACCATAATTTCAGGTTAAGCAGTGTTTCCGAATAAATTGTTGTCGTCAAACACTTAATTGTGTGTTTATTCGAATCCCTTGTGCGACCCAGATAGAGTCTTCATGGCAGATTTTTATATTGGTGCCCAAGATGTATTTTTTAAATGTGAAACAAACTTTGCGTAAGACATTCTTTGGAATTTTCGGAAGTTGATCGAGACCACCGAGTCTCTCAATTTGAAAAAATGTTAATGTGGATTTTCGGATGTGTACGAGGAGAGATAATTTTGACCGCACACCATTGCACACAGCAAAATACATACATGCCTCGTAAATCTCCATTTTTAGTATTTCATTACATTCCAGGTTACATTCTAATTTGAGTTCTAATTATTTAATTACTTAATGGCCGTATTTGTCTGTTTTATTCAGTCTATAATAAACAATTTCAATTAATACATAATTGTCATGTTCAGGTCAACGGGTGCTTTGATAGTATCGCACAATGGGCCTTGGATATGTGTACTGAGTTAGTCGGGCTCTCCTTGTGAAACCCATTAGGGATGAAAGTGTGCTAACCACCAAAGGAGTGGTCACTTTCCCGTTTCAAAAATTTCCATTTGAATTCGTATTTTGTTGAAATTTTTACACATATACCGCTTTATAGCGAACATGAACTAAGGACGTGTGGCGATAATAAGAAACGTAAGGGGGAAAGCGAACACGGTTGTCACGATTCAAAGCAGCGCACGGGTTTTCTATTGGTTGTTAGGGCACGCCGGTCGAGGTCATTGCGTTCGCCTTTTAGGTTTTTCTCCTGGGCGAGATTTAACTAACAAAAGAAGTTGAAGAGCGGGCGATTCTAATTGTACTGTTGATGGGGTTTGATGGGGCAAGGTTTTAAACGACGACACAGACGATTAAAATGAAACAATTATTAAGCGACAGAGCAAAGCGATGCAAGCTTTATATAGAGAAGTCGATGGTGTCCGTCTGTCCGTGAACACGATAATTGTCAAACGCTTGGACCGATTTGGTTCAAACTTGGCACAGTTGACCTATATGCCACAAGTAATATTAATAATAATATAATAATAATAATCATATTTAATCCAAAAATTTTTTTTTTAAAACCTCATGCCTTAGATTCAGCAAAACGCTGCTCTTCCATCTACATCATGACAAAACAAAGAATATTTGTACAGAGCAAAACAGCAAAAGAAAACAAAATTATTTTAGAATAACTATTTAGTAAGTATAGTGAAATGATGAATGAACAGATTGAAAGATAAAAGACAATACGAACAGGAATAATCAACAGCAACACGAATTCAAATTAAAGAGTGAAATAAAAGGTTAATCAATTGTTTTTTGAACTGACGAATTGTTAAACTCTTGAGAGGCGACGGCAATGCATTGTACATCACAGCAATGGTGTAGCTAAATGACCTGAGTGCTGTTTTATGTTGAGGTTAGTTAGTAGCCCTGTATGCCTAAGGTTTAAATTGTGTATGTCAGTCCTAAACCTGATCTTATTGTATAAATATGGTGGCCGCTTATCGGAAATGATTTTATGAAATAAAACAGCATTTTGGATAAGCATATTGAAAATGGGGCAAATCCAAATGATCAAAATTTAATTAGTTAGTCCCTTGGGCATTGCCTACCTATTACTGAAAATAGAATTGGAAGATTCGAAACCGTTCGCAAGTTATCATGTACACAGACGAACAGAAAGTCCAAAATCATGAACGAGCTGGGCCGCTCGTTACAAAATCAATTTCACACATTTCACGTCTTGATTATTTCTTATCTCTTCAAAACACCTACTAACAGTTAGGTATATTAAATATCCTTAAGAATGACAACAGAGCAAATGACGTGTAGCTATATCAATTTTGTTTAAATGGGTCGAAATTGCTATTACACCCCTTTCAAAAAGCATTCTTTTGTATTAAATTTATTTATTAACGAGGGATTTTGGTTTTTCTGTCCGGCCGT